GCAATGGTCCCTTTAGCTGCTGCCTGTGCGGCATGGGGACGCCGCCGAGCCAGGCCTTGCTGGCAGCCAGGTGCCCTTGGGGGGCTGAGGGGACCAGCCGGCTCTCTGGGCTGGGGGTGTGCATGCAGGGCTCCCTCGCTTCCCCACCTTGTGCCCCTGGGCCGCAGATGCAGATAGGGCTCTGCCTACTTTTCACAGGATCTTTTGCCTTTTCACATCCTGGCTGGCGTGGTTAAATGCAGGGGCTGACAAGTCCAGACAGCCTAGTCATGTGGAAAGCAGCCAGCAGCACTGCAAGGGTGAGCGGCACCCATACGTGTGCCCCCCTCAGCGGAGTAGCCCCCCCCAAACCCGACAGAACCCCGTGCCTGGCAGCAGCTTGCCCAAGGGCACCCTGCACTGGGGGCACACTGCTCTCCTTCTGCGGCCCAGAGTATCACCTTCAGGGGTTCCCAGAGGTGGGATGGGAGGCTTCCCACCTTGACCACCTCCGCGCCAGCCCTGTTTGGTACAGGGAAACCTGCGCGGCACTGAGGACGCCTCGGGCACCTCCACAGTGCATCGGGGGCTGATTCAAAGCAAGGAGTGAGGAAAGAGCACTGGCAATGTACCACTGGATTTTAGACTTGCAGAACCACAGGAGAGCAGCTGGAAGGGCCACAGGAGGTGACCGAGATCTTCCCTGCCCCAGGCGGGCAGCATGGACCCGTGGCCCTGCTTGAAGCATGGGCCACCCTCAGGCTGGCACTTTCAGCTTGTAGCACGAGGACTTTGGGAAACTGTGGATTCCCCTGAAGGCCACAGAAAGTAACTCCAAAAAGCAAGCCTAGAGTCAGTGGGCTTACGTGCAGTAATTAGAGCTTGTGTGTCCACGTGGATCATGTTTAGGGGTCTGCATACTGAAAAAGGCTGACAAGTCCTGCTGCAGACTCAAACAAAGCAGAGAAGGAGAATCCCTGCTGAGACCTTATTTTTTTTAAATGAAGGCTGCACATATCCCCAGGATATTGTTACAGTTTTTGTAACTGGATTACCTCATTAAATCAGTTCTCATGTCCCTGAAATCTAATGAGATCAAAACATGTTGCCCACCTGCGGTGTCCTGTGCTGAGGCACAGCAATCAAAAGATATGGAAAAGCAAAATCTTTTGCCAAAATTAGAAATTTTCTTAAAATCTATCTTCAGCATGTCTGGATGCAGTATCTCCTCCCTATGCAGCAAAGGCACAGGGGATTTTGGAAGCAGCAGATGCCTGACGTGGGGCTGCAGTGCCTTTTGCCCCAGGGATCCTGACAGACCCCGTACGTGGCAGCCGGGCTGCACGCTGCCACTGTGAGTCTGATCGCTGCTGGTGGCCAGAAAACTCACAGTGCAATGGGAGTCTAAAGCTCTGGCAAGCCGACATTTGTAACGACGTTATTTTTTCCTGACTTTTTTTTGTGTGAAAGTCAGGCTCCCTTTTTAATTTAATTCCTCTGGTGTCTCTAATCTTACTAGTGCTGAGCCCAATCTGCAATGGGACATTTTATGTTCCCACAAGTAACTGCTTTAAAAGACCCCCTAGGAAAGCATAACCTGTCCCCTCACATGTGCTACTTCTCCTTCAGCAAAGCATCATGTCCTGCTCTGGGCACTGTCTGCCTGTGGTCTCTAAATCTGTACTGTGAGACCTCATTTTAGAAGTCAGTGGCAAGAGACCTTTTTGCTCATACTGGAGCTGCCTGAGGGACAGTTTGATCCATATTCAACTCAGCCACTGAGGGTTTCTCCAGGCTCTTCTCCCTGTCCCTTGAGGGTAAGGAAGCCCCTAAACCTTTTGCTTGGAGGTAGGTAAAGAGGAGGGAGAGAGGAAACTGCTGCTGCCTCCCACCAGCACAGGAGTCAGGGGCTGATGGCAGCAGCCAGAGGCAACCATGCCCTTCCAGTGAAAGAGCACGGCTCACCCCAAGCCAGGGATTGATTTTATTCTGCAGAGTAATGAAAAGCTCCTTAAAGCATGCAGAGCCAGGAATGTGCCATGTTGGTGAGAGGCACTGAGAGCAAACCGCAAAGGGCACAGGGGGGAGAAATGGCGTGCTCCCTCCACTACCACCCACCTCAGAGCTGGGAGGCCCCGGCGTGCCAGGGCTCAGGGCGGCAGCAGTCCTGCCAGTGCTCCCTGGTCCCTCTGTGCTGCCTGTCCCCAGCCCGAGACCAAACCGCCTGCAAATGCATGCTCTTGTGCACTCCAAAGGCAAGTGGCAACCCAGTGGAGAGGCTGAGCTGCTCCCAGGGATGCTGTGGCAAAACGGAGGGGGGCCCATATGAGCACTGTGCCACTCTCCCTCACTGAGGTTTGCATTTTCCAAGGGAAAGGGCCATTTCACACCATTTATTGGGAGTCCTTTGGGTTTTCCCAGGCTCCCTGCAGTAGGAATTGCCTCTTCTGCCCCTGTGCCCTGGCTGATGGTGTCACTCTCTTTCTTACTCTCTCCAGTGGAGCCGGAGTTCAAGTATGTCGGGAACATGCATGGGAATGAGGTGCTGGGCCGTGAGCTGCTGCTGCAGCTCTCCGAGTTCCTGTGTGAGGAATACCGCCGGGGCAATGAGCGGATCACTCACCTCATCCATGACACGCGCATCCACATCATGCCTTCCATGAACCCCGACGGGTACGAAGTGGCTGCCAAGCAGGTACCAGGCAGTGATCACCTCCTCCAGCTGGGTAGGGGCAGAAAGCCCTTCAAATCCCTGTGGGATCCCCTTCACCACAGCTATGGGGAGGGGGGCATCCTTCCTCTCCACACCCTACCAAATCTGACCCCCTCAAGTGGTGTTGCCGCTTGTCACCTACTGTCCCAAGGGCTTGTGCTGTGTTTCCTGCCACAGGTGGCTCTGGCAGGTGATGGAAGAGGCTTCCTACACCTGTCTTACCCTCACCAGAAGTTATTTGTCACAGGAGGGTCATTGCTAATCCCCTGCCCCAGGCTGGGGAAGTGGCAGCTGAATGCCACTGTCATGAGCAGCCAGCAACATGAAGTACGGGGCAGGGGGGAAGCCCTCTAGTCCCCTCCCAAAACCTCACCCATTCCTTTGTACCACTAGACCTCAGAGAGATATTCATGGCTCTCTCAGCTGAGGGAAATTGTTTATTGGCTTGTGCCTTGCTCTATCACTCTGGAAAATGAAGATATTGTTATTGACTTTCCGTGTCAGTACCAATACTCTTTATTCTCCTGCCAGCAATAACATGCGTGTTGCAACTCAAAGGCACCGAAGTGCTGTTACGACGGCTGGTCCCTGCCACCCTGACACCCAGCCTGCCTGCGCCCACCCTGTACTCACCCCCGTGATGCACCTTTGCCCTGCAGGGCCCAGACAGCAATGGGTACTTGACGGGGAGGAACAACGCCAACGGAGTGGATTTGAACCGCAACTTCCCTGACCTCAACACGTTCATGTACTACAGCGGGGAAATCAGCGGGCCAAATCACCACATCCCACTGCCCGACAACTGGAAAAGCCAGGTACTGGTCTGTGATGCTGTGAGGGCTACAGCATCCTCTTAGAGTGGCTCAGCAAGCAAGCAAATATACTGTCCTTTGGCTTGCACGCTTCTTGTCTCCTTCTCCATGCCTTCTGCATGCAGAGAAATGATGTAATCCTGTCCCGTATCACAGCTTGCACCTCTGCCTGCAGGAGAGGCTGGCACCGTGGCCAACTTGGGGAGAAGGTTGCAATGCAGAGGACAGAGGAGGTGGCACATTATTGCTAACGCCTGTGCCTCAGGTTTTGGGGCTGTGCTGTAGCAGAGTATCCACAGGAGGAGCCCGCTCTGTGTATCAGGGCAGGCGGTGGAGAACAGAGGGATCTGCAAGGGCTGAAGCAGGCGCATTGCAGGGCAGGGTCTGACGTGACCGATCACGGCGCAGCCCGCCATGGAACAGCAGCTGGCCCTGAGGCGGCTGAGCTCTTCTCCCTGTCCCCATCCATCCCTCTTCTCCTCACAGGTGGAGCCAGAGACGTTGGCTGTGATCCAGTGGATCAGCAGCTACAACTTTGTGCTCTCGGCCAATCTGCACGGTGGAGCAGTTGTGGCAAATTATCCCTATGACAAGTCTCAGGCCCAGGGGTTCAGGAGCCACCGGCGCACAGTCAACACGCCTACCCCTGACGACAAGTTGTTTCAGAAGGTGAGCACAGCCCCTGCGGGCGAGGGCATTCCCACAGCCCTGGCAGGGTGCAGCGTGCGAGAGCTGGCTCAGTCTCTGGTCACTGCCTCATGCAGGAGCTGAGCCAAGAAACGTGTTGGAAATAACCACTAGCAGACTACAGCATTTCTGCCAGCCACTGGCTTGTGAGCCAGGGCAGGGCAGTCCCACCGTGAGCCAGTCCCACCACACCAACAGGCCAGTCTTAACCCTCAGAAGCCCCCTCCTCATCCATTCTTGGGTTCCCCATAACCCCAGTACCACCAGTGTCTTCAGTACCACCCTGCTCTTCCGGAGCTGGAGCCTGCCCTCAGCTTTGCTGCACCATCGTAGCATGTATATGGATTTTTTTTTTCCTAGAGAGGTGGCAGGGTCTAATTCAGGGCCTGCTGAGAGCAGGATAAGGGAGGTGGGTGCCCAGCAGGGGCTTGCGGATGGTGAAGAATAAGTAATACAGCAAAAAGAGCACCAGGAGCATAGGCAGGTATCAGGGAATGTATCAGTCTGTGCTGCTGATCCTGCTAGCGCTAGCTGAAGGCTGTGGTTTTTCTCCATTGTTAAAATGTCCCAGAAAACAGTGCCTTCAGTCACTGCTTCCATTAGGAAATACTCGGCACAAGAAAAAGCAAGTCTGCGTTAGAACAGTTAATGAGAAAAATAAGTCTGAGCTGGAGTTCAGCCTTCTCTGGAAGCAGAGGCTGTGCAGGGGCTTGCCAGGACCTGCTGGGATCAGAGCTGCACTCAGACCCAGAATGTAGAGAGGCTGCAGTCTGGGGCGTAGACTAGTGATACCCACATAGCCTCAGAAGTCAGAAATGTAGTGAAGTAACTGTTTTCCTGCTGCACG